GATGTATGACGTAACAATTAAAGTTGTTCGAGATGTGCGGCACGTGAAAGGCCTGAAGAAAAATTTATTATCCTACGGATTGTTGGATAATAATGTAAGCAAGATTGAAACACGAAAAGGAATCATGAAAGTGTTCCGTGGAGCGCTTGTGGTACTGAAAGGCGAAAAAATAGCTGCAAACTTGTACATGCTGAAGGGAGAGACTTTGGTAGAAGCAGAAGCCTCTGTTTCCTCATGTAGTTCAGATTCGGCAATGCTATGGCATCAGAAACTTGGACACATGTCAGAACAAGGAATGAAAGTCCTTGTGGAGCAAAAGCTACTTCCAGGCTTAAAAAAGATATCACTTCCTTTGTGTGAGCATTGCATAACAAGTAAGCAGCACCGGTTGAAATTCAACACATCAAATTCTAGAGGAAAAAGTGTTCTAGAATTGGTTCACTCTGACGTATGGCAAGCACCAGTAACGTCCCTAGGTGAAGCAAAATACTTTGTCTCATTTATTGATAACTACTCCAGGAGATGTTGGGTGCACCCTATTAAGAAGAAGTCAGACGTGTTTTCAACTTTCAAAAACTTCAAAGCGCGGGTGGAACTTGATTCTGGAAATAAGATTAAGTGTTTCAGAACAGATAATGGAGGAGAATACACAAGCGAAGAATTTGATGACTTTTGCAAGAAAGAAGGCATCAAAAGACAGTTCACAGAGGCGAACACTCCTCAACAAAATGGAGTGGCAGAGCAGATGAACAGAACCTTGTTAGAAAGAACAAGAGCAATGTTGAGGGACGCATGCCTAGAAAAATCATTCTGGGTAGAAGCAGTCAATACCGCCTGTTATTTGGTGAATCGAGCTCCATCAACTGCAATAGAGCTGAAGACACCAATGGAGATGTGGACTGGTAAACCAGTTGATTATTCAAACCTCCATGTATTTAGAAGTATTGTGTACGTGATGCACAACGCCCAAGAAATTTCAAAGCTGGATCCAAAATCCAGGAAATGCAAATTCTTGGGGTATGCTGATGGAGTAAAGGGGTATCGCTTGTGGGATCCCACTGCCCGCAGAGTGATCATTAGCAGGGATGTTATCTTTGTAGAAGATAAACTACAAAGAAAAGAAGACGATGATAGCGCTGAAAAGTCATAGACTACTCAGATACATGTGGAAAAAGAGTTTGAAGAAGGAGATTCTTCTGAAGCAGAACCAGCACATGATGAACAAGTACCAGAGAGTTCTGAAGCTCCAACAACTCGTCAATCAGATCATGTGAGAAGACGTCCCAATTGACACTCAGATTATGTTATAGAAGGTAATATTGCATACTGCCTTTTAACAGAGGACGGTGAGCCATCAACATACCAGGAGGTAATAAACAGCTTAGATGCTTCACTGTGGATGATGACGATGCAAGAAGAAATCAAAGCCCTTCATAAAAATAATACATGGGACCTTGTGCCACTACCACAAGGAAGGAAGCCAATTGGTAACAAATGGGTTTTCAAAATCAAGCGAAATGGTGATGATCAAGTGGAGAGGTATCGTGCAAGACTGGTGGTCAAAGAATATGCTCAGAAAGAAGGTATTGATTTCAATGAAATTTTTTCTCCTGTGGTTCGACTAACAACAGTTCGAGTAGTCTTGGCAATGTGTGCTACATTGAATTTACATTTGGAACAGCTAGATGTTAAAACAACTTTTCTTCATGGAAATCTTGAAGAAAAGATTTATATGCTCCAGCCTGAAGGTTTTGAAGAAGACGAAAAGAAGAACTTGGTTTGCAGGTTGAACAAATCTCTGTACGGTCTAAAGTAGGCGCCGAGGTGTTGGTATAAGAGATTTGATTCCTTCATTATGTGCCTTGGATACAAGAGACTTAATGCAGACCCTTGTGCTTATTTCAAGAGGTCTGGTGATAACGATTTTGTTATATTGCTGTTGTATGTGGATGACATGTTGGTTGCAGGACCCAACAAAGATCATATTGAAGAATTGAAGGCACAACTGGCTAGGGAATTCGAAATAAAGGACTTGGGATCAGTAAACAAGATTCTAGGGATGCAAATTCACCGAGACAGAAGTAATAGGAAGATTTGGCTTTCACAAAAGAATTACTTGAAGAAAATCTTGTCACGATTTAGCATGCAAGATTGTAAGCCAATTTCTACCCCTCTTCCTATTAACTTCAAATTATCCTCCAGTATGAGTCCTAGCAGTGAAGAAGAGAGGACGGAGATGTCTCGAGTACCGTATGCATCAGCAGTGGGAAGTTTAATGTTCGCTATGATATGCACAAGACCAGATATTGCACAAGCAGTGGGAGTGGTTAGTCGGTACATGGCGAATCCATGCAAAGAGCATTGGAATATTGTAAAGAAGATCCTAAGATACATCAAAGGGACCTCAAATATTGCATTATGTTACGGAGGATCAAACTTACTAATCAATGGGTATGTAGATTCTGACTATGCAGGGGATTTGGATAAAAGCAAATCTACTACAGGATATGTGTTCAAAGTTGCTGGTGGAGCTGTAAGCTAGGTTTCAAAATTGCAGCCAGTTGTGGCTACGTCAACAACAGAAGCAGAATATGTAGCAGCTACACAAGCCAGTAAAGAAGCAATTTGGTTGAAGATGCTATTGGAGGAGCTTGGGCACAATCAAGAATATGTCTCTCTATTTTGTGACAGTCAAAGCGCCTTGCATCTAGCAAGGAATCCAACATTTCATTCAAGGACAAAGCACATACGAGTTCAGTACCATTTCATTCGTGAAAAGGTGGAAGAAGGGACGGTAGATATGCAGAAGATCCATACCAAAGACAACATAGCAGATTTCATGACGAAGGCGATCCATACTGATAAATTTACTTGGTGTCGATCCTCTTGTGGCCTGTCAGAGACGTAAGCAACATGATGGTACATGGTAGAAAGAATGGTGTGAAGATATGATTGTTCCAATCAAATCTTCAAGTGGGAGATTGTTGAAAATCAATGCATCGAAAGTGCATGGTTTGAAGAAAAAAATATTGAATTTTGTCAACAATTGTAGGCACCGAAAATTAGGTGTAGAAATTGTTGATTTTTTATATGGGCAAATTACAAACTCTAGTCACTAAAATTTAGGGTATTTACAAATTAGTCCTTAAAGCTTCAACTATAAAATACCCTAGCTCATTTAGCTTCAAAACCATCCCAAAGCATTCTAGCTTTCTTCCAATACTAGAGAGATTTTAGAGAGTTTCTTGAGAGTTGTTTTCTCCTTTTTATCTAGAGAGAATTATCATTGTTTTCTCCTTGGTAGATCGAGAGAGGTTGTAATTCCTATTTTCTCATAGTGAAATTCTTCTACCGTTGCCCGTGGTTTTTACCCTAATTTTTAGGGATTTTCCACGTAAATTTTGTGTCTCTTTTATCTTCATTTTTATTTTCTCAAATTATCAGTTGCGATTTTGCTCTATCCGATAGCCGTCTTCTGCAACACTATTAACAAATATGATGCAGCTTAATAAGTCAAAAAGAAAAAAGAAGATAAAGTTATAAATTACTAACTTTTCAAGCTATAAACTAATTATTTAATTAAAATGATATTATTAATATATTATTTTATTATTAAAATTGAAACCTTCGTCTAATGTGGTATCTATTATGATATAATAATATTTTTAATCTATGAAACTTATATATTTTATTTGTTTGGTCCTAATTTAAAATAATTTAATAAATTTAATCCTTATACTTAAAAATTCTATCAATTTAGTCCTATTTGTGGTATTGTCATACCGAACGAGCTCATCGAATCAAAGTAGTAGTTGAAAAATGCATAATGCCATAAAACAACTACACAGTACTGTTAAACTATTATTATATCTTGAAAATAATATAACGTTTTTGAAAGAAGAACAAATAATTTAGGAGAACAGAGTCTAAAGTGTATAATAACAATTTAGGAGAAGAACAAACAATAATATAATGCTACTATTTCGTCTAATATTAAAAATGAAATATTTATTTATAATAATAGTTTAATTGAATGACTTATTTATATTTTTTAAAAAAGTAAATAATTTATTATTAAACCAACAATAAAGAGACTTTGGGTATAAATGATCTTGAGCTTTAGTGTTCTACTTTAAGTTATTTAATTTTAGTAAACTTAATTGTTAGAGACAAGGACGAAGCCATGCTTTAGTCAAGGGGCCACTGTCCCCCTAATTTTTTTTTAAAAAAAGTATATAAAAAAATATCTGTTTAATTTTTCTAATTTTAATTTAATTTCATTTTCCCCTCTTAATTTATATTATTAGTTATATTTTACCTCTTTTGAATTGATATCGTGACTCCGTTTATGATTAAAGAGATAGATAGGTAGTTGATATAAACTCATGTACAGCATCGGACTGCCCAACTGGTAAACCAAAGCATTCAAGAAGTAATTAAAACACAATCTCTGACAAGCCATTAGATTCATTGTATTGAGGAACTTTAAATAAATAATTGCATTTTTGTCTTTGTTGAAGTATACTTTTAAACATCAGCAGTCTTTGTTTATTTGTTTTTCACGATATGGTTGGAATATTCGGATTTTGCTAAAGTTCTTTATTGAATATTTTGATGACACTCCATGTAAATTGATCAAAATTAGTTTTTAGAAGTGATATTTATGTCATTTAATTTAGATTGTTAATTTTTAATGAATTAATTTTTTAATAGAGTGTAAAATATGTTTTATCTTTTTTTAAAAAAAATTTACGACATCATATTTCACATTACATTTATTTTATCCTCTATTTTTTAATCATTTTAACTCCAACATTTTAATTTTAAGTCAGAATAGTATATGTTGAATAGAAATTATTAGTTGATTAACAATTAACATATATTATTAATATGATATTTTCACATGTATTTAATTATACTTATTACCATTACCCTCTAAATAATTGCCCTATAAATAACTGCCTACTCTACACTCTCTTCCACATCAATTTTTGGTTTTGTCCTCCTTTTCTTAGCATTCCCCCCAAAATGGAAGACTTGGATTCCTTGTGGAATTATCAAGAGGTGGGTTTCTGTTTTGTTTCAATTGTTTTCTTTCTTCTTTACCTTTTCTGGGTCGACATGCATGGTTTTGGTACTTCTTCAACTTCATTTCTCTCTGTTTTTTTCTTCCACCTCTATTTGCTACTTTGGTGTTCACTCTACCAGCGTTGTTTCATTACAAGGTACCATAATAAATTTGTTTTTCCTTCATGTCTCACTTCTCTTACCACTAAGTTAATGGTCTTTTGTGTTTATTATAGAGTTTTGATGAACTGAAACTCGAGCTTCAATGCACTGCAATTGAGCTAGAACCCGTCAGAACGGAAGCCAAGGAACAAATAAAGAAATACAGGGATGAAGTGAACCATTTGGTCAATCTTGTAAAACTCGCCTGCGAAGAAAGAGATGAATCGCAAAATCTTGTTAACAAGTTAATGGCTTCTTCTTCTTCTCCAACCCAACTGCAACCCTACTCCGAAAACCTCCTTACGATTGCAGCGAAAGCAAACTCGAGCATAACTGAGTCCAACAGTTTATCTGACACGTATAATCACCACCACTCTCGTGGTTCTTCTTCCCCAGAGGATTCCTTGTTTGATGTAGTCACTTCACCAGATTTTTGGACCGCCGAGGATTCTGTGATTGATAATCTTGCAAAGGGGAAAATTTTGCCCGAGAAAGGGAAGCTTTTGGAAGCTGTAATGGAAGCAAGCCCTCTTCTTCTTCAGACGCTTCTCTTTACCGGGACTCTTCCTCGATGGAGAAATCCGCCACCTTTGCAGGATTACAAAATCCCACCTGTTTCCATGAAACGCCAAAGGTTTCAATGAGATTTTGTAAAGGTTAAATGTGACATAGCTTAGCTTGTTAAACACTTTTGACTTGTGGTTTGTTTCAATCAAAAGATCAAATAAATTATCTACAATATAATTTCAATAACGTTTACTTGTTTTTGGAATAAAAGAAACATGGACTTAAGCTCAAGAAGATTGAGATGAAGTACAATGAATACCGGAAGAACACCGACAGTAAATTTGGAAACACCTAAAACAGAGTAGGGTGATGGAAAATTTGAAGTCTCTCACTGGAGAAAAAACTAATCGTTCGTCAGTCAAAGGTTTGTATGGAATGGTTGGAAATTTGGTGATGGATCTTGTCTTGGGATGGTGACCCAAATTTCTGATTATTAGGCATGATGATTTTGGGTATAAGATATGCAAGTATAAATAAAATCTTAAAACGAACACAAACCATGAATAAATAATAAACAAAACAAAATTTAAATTTTAGATTAAACATTTATCTACCTTGAAGATAAACTACATTTGTCATTGATCGTCTCACTTGCTCGTACACATATAACCAGCAGATTGTTGACATCATCATTTTTCATTTTTTTCATATATTTATATTTATTGAACATTCCATACATATTCATGTATAAATATAAAATATAATTTTTGTTATTAAAAAAATATTAACAAAGAATATATAATTAATATATTTATCATTTGTGACGAGCATAGATCCTTATTTTGTGTTATATATAGGGATGAGCATGGATTGGGTCTAGTTTTTGGTCCACCCGACTCGATCATAGAACAAAGAGTCTTCCACCAGAGACTTGATCCAACCCGACCAAAACAAGATTTCACCGACCCGAACCCGACTAGATCTGAAATAATAAAAAATTATTTTTATTCAATAAAAACAGTGATTTAATTGAAAAAAATAATATATAGAGGGGTATTATTGTAATTATTCTTAAATATATAAGATTAAGTTATATATATTTTTTGGGTCGGGTATTTTTAACCCTAAACCCAAACCCGACCCGACCCTAACATCACATTAAAAAAAACTCGACCCGAACACGATTTTTTTAAAAATCCGACCTGAACGAGTCGGGTCGTGTCAGAACCCGTCGGGTTCGGGTCCCATGCCCATCTATATATATATATATATATATATATATATATATATATATATTATATATATGTATATGTATGGGTTAGGATTCACATACACTCAATTTAAAATTTTTAGTTTTACATTTTCTAAGATCGTTGGATGAGGAAAATTAAAGGCTGAGATTAATTCATTGTTTTTTTTTCAATGAATATCTTCTCATTTCCTAATGTTAATCTTAACCTTTGATTTCTCTCATCCAACAATCTTAAAAGGTGTAAAACTAAGAATTTGACATTAAGTATGAATCTTACACATATATTTTTGGTATATTTTGTTATGGCCTTAGCGCCTTTAAAATGCGTATATTCATGATTTAGTATGTTTTGTTTATGAATTTTGTGTTGAAGTGGTGTAAATGCCCTAATATGATCTTTGGATGCATGCGTTGTGAAAACTTATGCCTTTATGCATAAATGAGACTATTTGGTATGCCATGATATGTTATTACGCAAAGTGGATTTTTTTTTTCATGTATAACACAAAATCATGCTTGGATTCAACTATATGTCGATAAGTTAGTAAAATTTGATACATGAACATAGGTTTTTTTAATCACTTGTATTTGGTATATTAATCGATTAATTCAGATATGATACTATATTGATTCAGTATGAAATCAATCTTCCCAACTCAATTTATTCTATTAACAGCATATTCAAGATTTTGATATTGTTTAAAGGATCTATTGTCTCATCCCGACCTAACCCGTGTAATTATTTTTATTAGTCTGGGATTAAATAAGGTCATATTTATCTAGAATTTTTCTAAACTATTGATAATATACGCATATTCTATAGATGCAACTGCTCGAACTAACACCTTAAAAAAATCAATATATCCTTTAACTATTGAGGTTTATGTTACAGATACGATTTACGGTGCTACGATCACCTTAAAAATAACTTTATCATTAATGTCTTGTTTTATCTCGATAATGAATTTATAAAAGCAAGCTACCTGCAAAAGACACCCGCTAAATACTATCGCTAGTGATGTGATCCATAAGCTGATAATGACTTTATAAAAGCAAGTTACCTGCACAAGATACCCACTAAATGCTTGGTTCTCCTGTGCTCAATGGTTAGGTGATTTGTCACATTAAACAATTTTGAGAGTTGGTAGGTAAAAGAAACCAACGAAACACATAATTGATAAATTCAAGTCTTATCACTTCTAAACAATATATAAAACAAATTTAACAAATTAACCTACTTTTTTTTTACCGTTTCAATACATAAAACCTAATTGTTTACTGTCAAATAGAGGAGATTTGGCAGTGAAGTATTTGAGTTGTACATATCAACAAATCTGGGGCTGATTAATATCAACATATTCGGCATAAATTCAACTTGAGATATATAGGGGGGAAATAACAGAAATTACATGTCATGTTGCTGTTTGAAAATCATATTAAACCAGCAAGAAATCTACTTGCTTTTCAACTTCTTTGTTACACTGCTCACCATTATTCTATGCTTTCATACGTGTTCTCTGCCCTACGTAAAGTATAAGCACAATTCTTACTTTCTCATACATAAACAAAAAAACCAAATAACAAAAGTTTAAATAAATAAATGGAAAACAAACTAATCTAAGGAGGTATGTTAACTTGCATTATGTAATGAACCTTCCTGTAATTTTCAGTAACAATAGTAGAATAAATAGAGAAAGGAGAATAAGATAGATAAGAAAGGCTTCGGCAAGGAACACTGAACGTTGGGAGAAAATAGCCGCAGCCAAATGTTTAACATATAACATATCCTCATCTCTCTCTAAGTTATTCTAATCTATTTATACTAAAACTTACGCAATATAATTAAAATAAAATCCAACTAACAGTGATTCAACATATTTTGGTGGTCCTTTTGGTACAATCTTTCATAGCACCATTCGATTTTCGGTTCATAACACATTATCAGGATCTGTTAATTATGACTTATTATAGAGACGATCCTCTCAATCAAGATTATTCTATTAACAACGTTAGAGATCAAACCTCCACTTCGCTTCACTAATCTTAAATCTCGTTCTATTAGACTAATTGATTGATAATTGCTCAACGCAAATTTTAAAACTACACTTTATAGCTTTATACCAGACATGCCACCTAAACTCGAATATAACAGAAATGACCGATTATTTTTCTCCATGAATACTTAGCTCAATCAAATGCACAAGACTAACATAAAAGTTCTGAAATTAGAGATTACTAGTAAAACTCTGAAAAGGTAGTTTTATATACTTGCCTATCGTCTTCTGTTATCAAAATAAGGTAGAGAGGATCTTGCCAAGCAAGCTTGAAGAGTTCCTTGACTATGTAGGCACATGTGGTAATGCTGAAAAGTTGGACGAAAGGAAATATTAATATCTTCCTTTCCATTTCACTTTTTTTTATAAAAAAAAATCCCATTTTGAAATGGTAAAACATCATTTCTATCATATACTGAGAGGTAAGAAAGTATACCTGCCAAAACATATGAGTAGGACTATCCAGCAAACTGCAGAAATCCAATTTGATTCTTTGTAGGCAACCCAAACCTACAATTTATTTGCCAACATAAAAACTAACATTCAAGACAAGTTAAAAACAAACATCCGCGGTGTGTATCTCATGTGTTTGCATTTCAAACTTACCGATAGACCAACAACATTTATATAGAAATCAATTAGTGTAGCTGTTATCCACCTGCAAACAATTTAGCAATTAGTTAGGCTTTCCAGAAAGATAAGCAACTCTTACGAAGCGATAAGCAATTGCAAGGAATGTATAAAATGATTGTTAGTGAACATGTTAGCAACTCTATGATTGATACATACGTAAGTAGACCCCCTAAACAAATGACAGCCTCGACCGACCTCTCTTCCTTATTCTATGCATCGAACCCTCCCAAACCATCTTGACAATTCACCACCCAACTTTACTTTCTTGTAGCTTCTGACAAACAATTAGCTCAGGGATGGACCGAAGGGGAGCTGGCAAGGGCGGTTGTACACCCACAAAAATTTCATATTCTCATATAATTTAGGTATTTTCTTTGTATTTTTCATTGATAATGAGCGCACAAACACCCTACAGACATCACTGCTCAAACCTGAGATCTCTAGGGAGAACAACACTCCCTTAATCCCTTTAACCACCAAGGTAGCATGATGGGTTCAACTTATATTACTTGTATATTTATCTATGTATTTCTCATCTTAAGACAATATTGAAGTTCGATACCACTCAAGAAACTTTAAAAGATGCTGCTGCAAGATCTACCGAGAATACGGTACGTCGATGCCTAGTCTGTAGTATGAATATGATCCCATTTTCTTCAAAAGCATTATAATCATTGATAAATTACTCCATACTGAGAGGAGTAAAAATGTTTTCCAATAAAAGAGGGGAACAAAACTTACGGAGTTAGTAGCTCTTTGCGGAAAGGCGAACCATTAGTTAAGAGAGTATAGATCAAAGTTCCCAACATCAAGCAACCCAAAACACTGAAGAGGATTCTTGAAATCACAACAGATGAGTGCTTCCCCTTTGTTTTTGTATCATTCCTAGACAAAGAATTTCGAAAGCATTAGAACTACGACTTATTCTGTTCATCAACCAACTAAAAACTGTCATTATTAATCAAGGTGGACATTCTTTGCACAATAGAAGCAACATGCCAATCCTATCCATCAATCTTTGAACCATCACATGAAGACTACCACCATGTGAAATATGATGAGTTAACTAATCATTTTGACATTTATGCAATTTGACAAAGATAGAAGAACCCATATCAGCACATCCATGTCAATTGTAAAAGATATTAATCTAGGAATAAAACTATGTTTTGTCACTGAGTACAGATCAATAGATCGATAATTTGAAAAGGGAAATATAACATATCAGAATGGCACATTAACATGTCATAGGAAACTTGACAGAATTTTCTAGTATTAGACTTGGAGATTGGGTCCTTACTTGCTCATCTGGTGCAATAGAACATGATAAATGGGATTTTCCAAAGATTCTTGAGGAGACAGTTTGAGAAATTGAATAAAAAGGTAGCCAGATGTTGTAATGCTGGGGAAAAAAAAAAGAAAAGGTATAAAATTAAATTGTATCAAATAATCAATAAACCAAGGAAAGAAAGAAATAATGTTAAAGATCAACAAATAACTACTTCCAAGATAGCAGTTCAAAGACTATTATTTTCAAAAGAGTAATACCAAGAAGCTTTATATTTTTTTTTCAACTGAAATTTACAATGGTAGGATTAAGACCAAATAAGCAATTAAATTCATTTCTCCTCATTTAACATGCACATAATGAATCCCCTTGAATCATTTTTTGTTTCAACTTTATTTACCATTTCTCTTCATTTATTCTCTAGCTTAGACTGTAAATTATGTTAGAATGCATTTGATATAACATTAACTTACATTTGAAACAACTGAAGGAAGTTTATGTGTTAACCATTTTTTTGAAACAACACATGAATCATACATAAGTGTAATATCCAGATAGAGATATTGAACATACCTGCCAAAACATATAAGCATAATTACCCAAAGTGTAGCAATAATCAAACTTGATTCTTTGTAGGAAACCCAAACCTGATGCATTAGAAAAATCAGTAAAGCATTTTTTTTTTCTTATCTCCAATAGAAATTTAATAAAAAAAAAACTCTCCCATCTTTTGAAGAACGGAACGACAATTAATCTTCTTTCTCTATACCAACAAGTATTAGATTACGGATAATATAAGCAACACAATTAAAGCACAGACACAGATATAAAAGCACCAAAGTTCTACATATATACATGGAAATCCGAAATCATACCGTAAAACATATGACTTGCAGAATCCTCAGGCATGGTAGGGTAGGGTCGGGGTCAGGAGTGCATATATCAGACCTTAAAACTATTATTTTCCCGTTAACCTCTCAAAATTATAAATGTTTCACCAAATCTAAACAATACTTGACCGTCCTTAATAGTACAATTGATCATTTCTCACCAAATGACAAAATGTAATGTACAACTTTAAATTTCCTTTGTGGTTAGAAAAAGAAATAATATAGAAATTTATATAAGAGATCATGACTCGGATTTTGTTTGATATCACCGAAGTTTGTGGAACGACTGTTTGGTGAAGAATTATTTTGGGAGGAAATAATATAGAAATCATTAAAAAGAAAATTCGAGTTGAAGAAGAGAGTAGAACAGTTTTAGTATTCAACTTGATACAAATCACTAATTTAGTATTTTTAGTATTCACCATAGTATTTTTAGTATAGAAATCATTAAATGTTAAATATTTTTTTAAAAAAAGCTGTGGCTAAATGAAATAGATATGAATCACTAATTTAATCTTAGAAGTATATACCAAAGTTGATGTTTTAAATCATTAAAAAGAAAATTCAAGTTGAACAAGAGAGTAGATAGTGCACATACAGCGATAGGTACAACATTGATGTAGAAATCAACCAAAGTTGCAGCCATCCACCTACAAGATCCTCGTCAATACATGAAAAAAGAACCCATCAAACTTCGATGATAATGAAAACCCAGAATCTTAAACTGTACAACCTAATTCAAAAAGGAAATAAAGAGAGAGAGATTACGGGGTAAGGATTTCCCAGCGGAAAGGAAGGCCATCGATGAGGATGGTGTAAATGAGAGTGGCTATCATCAAGCAGCACAACACTAAGAAGAGAGCTCTTAAGCCATTCACTAACAAAGAAGACGCCGTTGCTACTTGCTTTCTCATCGAAATCACACTGGTTGAATGAATGGTTTTTTTGTTTTTGTTTTTGAGAATCAAATATATGGCGGGGAATGAGACCACGTCATCGCCAAAGCGGCCATCCAACTTCTTTTTGAATTCATGGCGGGGATTGAGACCACGTCAAAGCAGCCGTCCAACTTCTTTTGTGTTCATTTTAAAATTATTTCAAAACCTTTCTTCTACGTTTAAAATATAGAATAAATTACAAATTTCATCACTAAGCTTTACTCAGTCTCCTATTTTGTTCACTAAACTTTAAAAGTTTTCAATTTTCTCATTTAACTTAATACATTAAGTTTTTTAGTCATTCCGCCGTTAAATAGTTAACGGCTTTAAAACGATTTCATTCTAAAAATTTAAAACTTTTGTCAAAACGACATCGTTTTTCATCTATATAACAATCCATTTATAATGTTATTAGTGAAAAAAAGTCTTAGTGAGCAAAAAACTCAATGTATTAAGTTCAGTGAGGAAATTAAAAATATTTAAAGTAAAATAAGTGAAATAGGAGAGAGGATAAAATTCAGTTACCAAATTTATAATTTACCCTCAAAATATATACCCCAGTAAATTACAGGATTAACCATTTTCATTTAAGTTCCATACATTTTTAATTCAAAAATTATAATATTTGGTATTTTTATTTTCATTTAATTAAGATATGGTTATTGAGAGTTAATTATCGTTAGACATTTAACAAATAGCTGATGTGACATAGTTAATATATAAAATTAAAGGGTAAACTATACAATGATCATTAATGCTTGAGTAAATTTTTGTTTTCTCCATTGAAGTTTTAAAAGTAACAAATTGATCACTGAAACATTAAATATGTCATTGAACAATGATTTTCTATCTAATTTTAATCATATAATACGAACATTTTCATAGCTCGATAACTTTGCCATCGATGTCTCAGATACATAACAACATAGTACAACATTGAGAGAGGGGGGGAGGGTTCGATTAAAAACTAAAGATGTCTATTTATATTTCTGTTTCTCTAGATAACAATATGCAAACAAACTAAAAGAGAAATCTGCTTCACTCATCTGAGCTATAGCCACTAAATTCCGACAGTAAGGCACGACGGCAGAGCAGAATGATTCCTTGTCTTTGAGGAGAAGATAGCTCCCATTTGAATTCCATTTCAAATCAATTATGGAAAGCTGTGGTAGTGGATTATTTACACAGTATGCTGCACGGATAGGATCTTTTTGCACCAAGATGGTAGCTAATTCCAAATGGTGTATGTTCCAAATCCAGAGTGCAGTCGGCATGATATCATCGCGAGTACAAATATATTGGCTATCATTGCTCCATGAAAGAAGAGTTTGGTTCGTAACAACATTAAAGGGAGGAAAATCAAAGTTAATTCGACCAACGCATTCTAATTAGTTTATTAAGCAGCTTATAGCCTTAATGTGATTGTCCTTAACACATGATTGATCCCTAGAAAAAATAAATTGAAACCAAATCATCATATCCATTAGGATACATTTTCTAACGTCCTAATATGGCATCGGCAATGATAATTGGCAACTGATAGTTAAGTGGTGGTCTGGTATCAAGTTGGACCTTTCCATCAATATAGTCAATGCGCTTTCAGGTTAGTGGCTTAGCATGAAAAAATAAATTAGAAAGTTTTTGGGGTAAATTAGATATAAAATCATTGTTCAATGACCTATATGATGTTTTAGTGACCAATTTGTTACTTTTGAAATTTCAGTGGGAAAAACAAAACTTACTAAAACATTAGTGATCAATTGTGTAGTTTACCCTTTTTGATTTTATCTATTCACTGTGCCACGTCGGCAGTCCGTTAAAGGTCTAACGACAATTAACCGTCAATGACCATATCTTAATTAAATAAAAACGAAAGTGAACAAATATTATGTTTTTTGAATTTAGCAAGGAAAAGTGTACAAAAATACAAAACTTAAACGAAAGTGATCAATCTTATAGTTTACCCTTTATTTTTATATAAACATATATATTAGGAGGTATGTTCAATTTTTATTTTTTCAATTTGAAATCTTACATGCATATTTGCTAATGAACATACTTACAAAACTTTGAACCTAATCACACAGACAAATATAATACCTTTGTTCTTGTAATTTGGTTGCTATACATGTTTCTAATGAATGATTGCTAGTTTTAAAACATATTCTTTATGTTGTCTGTATTTTGTTTGAATTTTTACACTTCATAGATTTTTTCACCATCGTGCTTAAGTAAAAGCATATGTACGTGTGTTTTTCTGTTTTGAAAAATAAATTTTTTGGTCTAGACCGTACATCAATGTGTCTATCATGCTTAGGTAATATGCTCAGGGTTGTATAGAGTGCTTTAAACCTACAGAGGGAAAGGATGCAAAAATTAAAATAGTTGAAAAAAATAAACCAATCACTGAGATCAAGTTTAAACCAAATATTTATTCTATCTATGTTTGATTTAACGTACTCTATTATAAAATAAAGTTGATAACTAAGAATTATGAGAAACCATTTTGATTTTCTCTATAAAAATATAATTAATTAATTATAATTTATTAATGGTTATCCGATAGTTAATCATTTATCAAAATTCATAAATCTTAACCATTAACAAGCACTTTAGTGGTTCAGTTAATTGAAACCGTTTAACCTTGACAGTTTAATTAACTAACTTGTAAAATGTAACAGTTACACCAATTAGCGATTACGATTAACAGTTACATGTTAATTTGAACACCGAGAGAAAAAGTCTCAAGCACTCAACGCCTAGAGAAGCCACTATTTGTTGACGTGACTTCTGACAGGCCCACGTGACCTACCAGAGCCAAATCTAATGTCAGTTGACCATATCTACTTAGCCTGTTAACCTACGGATAGCTATAATAACCTTATATCTCACATCAACTCCAAGAGTCATTATAAACCTTGTTGAGTTAATCGATTAACGAATATGGCCAAGAGGGGGTGAATTGGTAATTAAAATTTTGGTAGAAGCTTTTGCAGAAAATTAAAAGAAATTTGCACAGCGATTTAGAGTGGTTTGACTTTCTCAACCGAAGTCTACGTCCACTACCTTAGCTATCCACACTAAGGATTTTCCACAAATTCACTAATTTGTCTTTCTTTTGAGGACAAATAGTAACCTTACAAACCCTCAAGAATTATACTCCAAATTCTTGAGAACACTCTCTCCCAAAGAGAACAATACAAATTTGCAAACTTACAAGGAAATCCTCACAAGGTAGATTGTTTGCGCAATTCTAGAACAAAGAAAAGAACACTCAAAAAATGAATACAATTGAGCACAATAAGTGTTCTTGAAAGCAAAATGAATATTGAATGAAAAATAAGCTTGAAATGCTCAAACTTGAGGTTTGATGCTTTCTCTTTGATTCTCTCTTGATTCTAGTTGCTTGATGTTTCTTGTTGTTGATCAATGACTTCTAAGCTTGCTTAAATACACCTTGAATCACTTCTGAACGTTGGGGATCATTAATGAAGATAATATAGTCGTTTTAGTGTGAAATCAATTAATAAAACAGTTTGGAGCGTGGGGGGAATCGGTACCCCATAAGAGGAATTGGTTCCCTAAGTGTAAAATTCAAATATTTCGACCGTTGAACAGTGGGGGAATCGGTACCCCCTGGGGGGAATCGGTTCCCTCCGAGCATACTGAAATTTTTGGAGCCAAACCATTCAGGGGGAATTGGTACCCCCTTGGGGGGAATCGGTTCCCTCTGAATCTGGAATTTTTTGGCTTTGAAATGGTTCGAAATATTTTGTAAAATCATTTTGAAATTATTTTAAGATTAAAACTTAATTTTACACTTGAGTAAGGATTAAAAATGACATTTGAAAGATTTGGAGTAATATTTTGATATTCGAATAATTATATCGAATATACTTAGAAAATCTTTTTGGAAAATCTTAAAATTCATTTAACTTAATTTGTTATATCGAAATATCAAAATGTTTTCAACAATCTCCCCCTTTTTGATATAACAAAACATTTTAGTAATTTTAAGATTTTGAAATCAAGTTTTGAAATTACTCCCCCTTACTTTAACACTTCTCCCATTTAAAACATTTAACACTTCTCCCCCTTTTTGTTAAATCAAAAAGACTCGTAAAAGATTTTAAACAAGGTTTTTGAAATCATTTAGCCAATTTGATTATAGTTTAAGCTGCTAAGATCACAATCAAGAGAAACGTTAGCCATTAGTTTCATAATCAATATTCATAAACAATGTGATATGGCAAAATTGGTCATATATCTAACATGATGTAAATGATACAATAAATTTAACTAAACCAAATATATAAATTCAAACATCCAAACAAATCCAAAGTCTAACAATCCTCAAAATCAAACATTCTAAAATATTCAAAATGTTGAAACAATAATCTTTTAGTTCAAAGTTCTAAAGCTAAACACAGAATCAAACATCCGGATCGGGAGGAGGAAAACGAGCTCTCATAGCGGCCATCTCATGTGAGAGTGCATCAATAAGTTCATTCATCGAAACGTTTGTGCGCATCTCTCGGAGGATTTCTAATTGTTGAGCTCCCATTGTGGATAAATGGGACTCTATAGAAGTAAAGTGCGAATCTATGGTAGCATATCGGAAATCAAATGTCTCCATAAAAGATTGAAATATGGAGGCATTTGATGCGTTTGTTGTGCTTGCTCCTCGGGCTGTTCAGGCTCATCTTCGGCTTCATCAATGTCTCGCATTAATTGTTCAAGCTCGGGATCGTCGTCAGCTTCTGGTGGAGCTCGTGAAGAACTAGCTCCCGGAGTATTTTCAGAAGATCGAACCCATTCATCGGTTTCCTTATCCTTTATCAATCCCGCTCTCGTTAAGGAAAGAAGATTAATTTATTTCTTTAGAAGAAATGAGACATCTAGACCAACTCTAAGCCCGGCTTTAGTAAAAAGATTACTCAAAATGCAACCGTAAACTAGAGATGAACATAGTTTCTTGTTAGGAACAAGAT